CATTTCATAGTGATTTTGTATTTTAAACTTTTACGAATGCACTGTGATTTATAGACAACCGCGTGCTATCAAGAATGTCCAGGTTAGATCTATGCCGGCAGTACGTTTGAACGCAGGATTTCATAGATACAGACTGTCTGAGTATAAGTCCTCCAGCGGTCAAGCATGCGACTTTATAGTGGTGGCCTGTCTTTCCGTTCCGCCGGTACGTTTGGACGCAGGATTTCATAGAAAAAAACCAACCTTTTCACCTCACGCATACCCAGCCTGTACATAGCACATAGCCACCCCCATACCCACCTGAAGGGGTCCAGACTTATGATTTTATAGAGCACATGTTCCTTGTACCTAGGTGTTCGTTACGCTCACACATACCCAGCCTACCTCAGCCTGTGCATAGCACATAGCCACCCCGTACCTACCCCAAGGGGTACAGACTTATGATTTTATAGGGCACATGTTCCTTGTAATTGGGCGTTCGTTACGCTCACACATACCCAGCCTATCCCAGCCTGTGCATAGCACATGGCCACCCCATACCTACCCCAAGGGGTCCAGGCTTATGATTTTATAGAGCACATGTTCCTTGTAATTGGGTGTTCGTTACGCTCACGCATACACAGCCTATCCCAGCCTGTACATAGCACATGGCCACCCCATACCTACCCCAAAAGGTCCAGACTTATGTGTACGCGTTACGCGGCACGCATTACGAGTTACGAATTTCATCCCGATTTCCTCTCTGTAAAATCATTCCGTTGTCCTTGTTGCAGTGTATCACGGACACGAGTGCTCTCCGACAGGTATCAAAACTAGTTCAAAATGCACGTCCGTACCCACCAAATTATATGGGGGCTCCATCAAACATATCCGCCAGTACGTCCAACCCCCCCGTTTTATATCTATGAAATCCCAAGCAGGACCCCCTGGCGGAATGCGGAGGTTTTTTTTTATATGATATACAAGCATATACGTGTCATATGCATATAATCATATTATTACAATAATTACAATAATATCATCCTATACTAATACGTGCATGTATATGTGCGATTGTGACTGTTTGTCGGCTGCAAGGGCTGCTGGGAGCCTGTGCCTGCCCTTTCACTCACTGTGAGCTGCGTGCTCAGTAAAAATGTTTGGGGTCCTGCTGGTACCATCACGAAGTCAACTTCCACAGTTTAGAAGGACCCAGAAGGCAAAGGCATAGAGTCATTTACAACAATTGGGGGGGGGGGCACGTGTGTCATTTACTGAGATTCGCGTATGGTGAGAGACCACTGACAAAAGATCTAGAAGGATTCCGCAAAGATCCCGCAAACGTTGCCATCATCCATTCGACATGTCCCCCTCAGCTGGATTCTCGGGCGTAGCGGCCCGAGCTTCTGCGAGAACCGTTGGGAACTCAGCCTGGGGCACTGTGGGCATTTGAGGAAAACATTCGCGGAAGATCTCGGAAGCATTGGGCAGTAATTACTAGTCAGGCCCCAGCCTTCAAGGCATACGGAGTCCTACTCTCCCTGGTGGACAAAGCAGGTGGAGCTCACAGAACCATGCCAAAACACAATGAGAAGGTCCTTTGGAAACGAACGTTGGCCAGACTCGCTTTCCAGCATGGAAAGGCTATGTGTTATACATACATACATACATACATACATACATACATACATACATACATACATACATACATACATACATACATACATACATATATATATATTGTACCAAGTAAGTAAGTAAGTAAGTATCAGCAGCACGGTAAAGAGTCATTATCGAACGAGCATGGGACATAGACCATCCGATTTGTTCCCCATAGCTTGAGCGCAGACCCAGACACTTCCAAAAAGGATGAGCCTAAGATTGCTTGAGCGATGAGCTGCAAGTCCCGGCAGCATTTTCGGCTACAAGTTACAGCAGCTCCACCCTTGAATCGGCAGCGCGCTGTACGGTGACGCCATGGCAACCTCAATCCGCCCGTCGAAGGGGAAGGCCTCGCCGATTTTGACCTCACTGGTGTGTGGCTTCCTCTTGTACCTGGGCTGCTTCGTTGCTGGGGTAGTCAGGTTAGCGATATGATCTAGCTGTGATTCACAGTGCTAAGGTACTTCGGAATTCCCATGGCATTTTCCACGATTGCCAAGGGCCGCCCCACTGCGCAGCGACACAGGCAGGGCTGCGTTGTGTGTGCTCAACAGCTCCACCCAATCCGTCAATTTGCGTCCTTGTTCCTAGTAGCTTCTTGCTCCTAGTAGCGATGCCAGGAGCCCCTAGTAGCTTCTTGCTCCTGATGCTAATATATGGTATTGCTGGAAGAAAATGAGAAAAGGTCATTCAGTTTGACATGAAGGAAGAATTCTACATCCATTGGAGGCAATTCAGCTTAGCACGTCGGGCAGAAGCTGAAAGTGCTGGGACTGCCGTTGCGACAGAGGAAGCGGATGGTGAAGAGTTTGAGTTTCAGGCTGAGGTTGGTCGAGTTATGGACATCATCATCAATTCCTTGTACTCCAACAAGGACTGCATGAGCAGAAGCCAACTTGTGCTTTAAGTGATTACAAGTGACTAATGCTTCTCAATTATAGGCGGGTGAACTTGCATTGGTTTACATTGCTTTTATACCTCAACCGGTGTAGCTGATGTGCTCCTCCTTTGGAGGACGTGTTCCTTCGCGAGCTGGTCTCCAACGCGGCCGACGCCTGTGACAAGAAGCGCTTCTTGGCACTCACCAACAGCGACGCTCCGCCGGAGCCAATGAAGCTCCGAATCAACTCGGACAAGGAAAAAAAGGACCCTCACCATCGAGGAGCCAACGGTTGTGGATCGCCCATCGAGTCAGTCAGTCAACCGACTTCCAGTTATTTCATGAGTTTTCTTTTAGTCTAGTTTAGGTCTTCTACCGGAGAAATGCGCCTTGGCGATTTTTGGAAGTTGGTTGAACCTGTCACACGGCTTGGTAGGACAATGGTGTGGGCATGTTGAAGGAGGAGCTCAAAGAGAATTTGGGCCGAATTGCCCGCTCAGGCCGCATGACTAGCATTGTTTTTCCCCAACCAAGGTGATATATACATATCACGTGCAGTGCTTTATGATCTTTATGACCTACATAACATTACAATGTATTACAATTGACAATGGCCATAAATCGTATCCACAACATTTGCATTGTAGCCTACTATGGATTCTAGTGTGCATTGCCATCCCCTCACAGCGCCTTTGCAGTAACAGATTTGTCATTTTCATCTCATGACTTTCACTGTTGCAGGAACTGCCAACTTTGTGAAGGAGCTTGGAAGCGGTGATGCAGATGTTAGCCTGATCGGACAGTTCGGTGTGGGTTTCTACTCGGCTTTCTTGGTGGCCAACAAGGCCGCTCCATATCAAGAGCAATGAATTGCTGGATCACATTTTAGGTCCATATGATGACATTTTCTTGGGTAGATGCTTCATGATTTGTTCATCATAAATGCCTCACACGGCTCATGCTGGAGCGAGCACTTGTATCCCACGTTTGTTGCTGGAGCGGTGTGGATGGATGTGACAAAATTGACGCTTATTTGATCCCTCCCTCTTTACCGCTGTGAGCAAGCATCGCCTCAGGTCGATGTTTACTCCAAGAGCTTCAAGGATGAATCCGATGGAAAGACGTGGTTCTGGTCTTCCACAGGACATAGTGCGAGATGTCGGGTTGTCGGGTCAATATTGGGACCATGAGCCACCAATTCACGCTTATTGGGACGTAGGACCTGTCAATGATTGATGGGTGAACCGTGGTGAACCGCCATCATTGATTGCTGAAGTGGCCTGGAGGACATTCTTACAAGATCACGGAAACTCCTGAGGAGAAATTCTTCGGCGAACAAAGTGGCACCAAGATTGTCCTTCATTTGAGGGAAGAAGCCCAGGAGGGGAGCGAAGGGCACATCGACTGTCGGCTTGCTTGGTGCGATATGGATCGACCTGGCGCAATCACATCTTCTTCATTTCTGGGCGGGTACTGTAATGGTGTCATTTGAAGATTGTGCGATGGACATGCCCTGCGTGCAGCACAAACTTGAAAAGAACAGGAGTCTAGAGATGTCTAGAGTCTAGTGCATGCCCCCACTTTTCTAGAGGAGTACCTGGACACTGGCAAGCTGTCAGATTTGCTGAAGCGACTTGGGAAGCATAGATGCATTTTTTTGGAGGGAGGGATGCCTTTGAAGCATGACGTTTGCTGTTGGTGGACGTTACCAAACACAGTAGGAACACTCTTGCTGAACATCTACACGCTTTTGTGTTGGCCCGTCAGTCTCTTTGGACCTTAGGAAGTACAGTGAGTTCATCACCTTCCCAATCGAGCTTTACAACGAGAAGGTTCAGTACGACCAAGTGCCAGATGAGTCCGCACCACCTCCCAAGGAGGGTGAAAAGCAGAAGATGAAGAGTGTGCCACGCTCTGTCTACGAGTGGGACATCATGAACAAGATGAAGCCAATCTGGCTGCGAAACCCTGATGTGGTGAACCAGTCAGAATACACGGAATTCTACAAGACCACCTTCAAGGCATGGCTGTGTGGTGTTTGATCGCAGCTAGGAACAAGGATGCTACTAGGGGCCCCTGGCCTTACTACTAGAAGCAAGAAACTACTAGCCGTGAATCGTACGGAATCTTCTCACCACTGTGGGCCGATGTTTGGCCCGTGGAAGTTAGCCGGTTAGTCGTCCGGTGATTACTTGGCTGTCTGCACATGTCATACCGTTTGGGAGACTCCGATCATTCCTGGTGCGCCACCGGTGCCTGGTCAGGCCTTTGATGAGCCCATGACGGTCACCCACTTCAAGGTTGAAGGCACGTGGATGTGGCCTTAAGAGTTTGCCCTTTGGGTTTTGCAGCTCTAGCATTCACGGCAAACTATACGGCAACGTATGGCAACGGTTTACCAATCGAAAAGCAGACTTGGCACCATGATAGCATGTTACAGCGCACTGACCACCTTGTTGTTTTTCTTGATTTGCAAGGCCAGATCGAGTTCAGGGCTTTGGTCTTCATCCCCTCAACGATGCCCTTCGAGCTCACTCGTGACATGTTCTCCCCTGAGGGCCGTGCCATGCGCTTGTACGTGAAGCGTGTGTTCATCAATGACAAGTTCGAGGACACCTGGAACTTGCATCGACAGGTCTTTCATGGTCTCGGTTGGTTACTTGCATGATTTACTACAGATACTACAGTATTTACATGTATTTACTATAGTATCGGGGTGAATTGGCTGTAGCAACATTAGTAACATAGTTTGTTTGGGTGACAGGCTTTTTTTGGGCAAAGTACAGCCAATGGAAGAAAGATGAATACGATGGAACAAGCACCGGGGGCATCCTTCTGCAGATACGCAAACTACTGCGTGATGTCCCATGATTGTCCCAAGCGTCAGATCTGAGTGTTTACACTTTACACTACAGCCTGCACTAGAATTCGTATGTGCACGAAGGCCACTTCCGCCCTACCCCTGGTCCTTCCAGGATTTGGTGCCTCGATGGCTGACCTTTGTGCGTGGTGTGGTGGACTCTGAAGACTTGCCACTGAACGTGGGCCGAGAGATCTTGCAGAAGAGCCGAACACTGAAGATCATCCGCAAGAGGGTGGTCCGCAAGGTGCTTGACACCATCGACGTGGCCAAGCTGAGGTTTTACAATGCATTGTCCTTTTCAATCATTGACAAGCTAACAAGCTAATATACCTACACTGCCTACACTGTAGTAGCTAGAAGCTACTAGCAGCAAGAGCGTCGCTACTAGTAACTAGAAGAAGCATTGTTTCAGGCGAGGGCAAACTTGACGTCTTTGTGCCAAGGACCTGCGAAAGAGCGACCCTGCCAAGTTCGAGTCTTTCTGGACTAGCTGCGTGGTAGCAGGGCTAGGCCACGGCCGCCATGCCCAAGACAACCGTTTTCTTAGGCTATGGCAAGTACTTCAAGGTTGGCTTGGTGGAGGATCTCGACTACAAGGACTGAATATGACTGAATCACATTTGGAGCAATTTGATGCATGTTGGAGCCTTGCTGTGTGAAAACCAGATCGCTGCAGGGAACCTTGAGCCGGCTTTAGCCTGCTTTGAGTCTTTGGCCAGGATGAGCTGAAGCGCTTCGTTCGATTTTGGTCCTCCAAGAGCGGCGACAACCAGACTAGCTTGGACGAGTACATCAGCCGCATGAAGGACGGCTGGGATTTTTGGGGAGGGTTTAATCAAATCAACTTATGCCTTGGCATGGCCCTCACAAAGTGGGGTGTTGTTGACATTATGTTCTTCCCAAAGTTCATCCCGCAACCTTGTCATAGAACAGTCAAGAGTCAAGAAATGATACGTAGTTGTGATTCTGTGGCTAAACATGTGCGCTATCTCTCATTGTGGCCCGAACGTGG